AGCTATGAGGAGAGGCTGGGTAAGCTTTGGTTGTTTTCTTTGGAGCAGAGAACATTGAGGGGGGATCTGATAGAGGTGTATAAGATTATGAGGCGCGTGATGGGGTGGAATGACCTGTGTTGAATAACAAGGGGACAGAATTTTCTAGTGAAAGGCAAGATGTTCAGACAGGATATGAGGAAACAGCCTTTTCACTTGGAGGGTAGTGGGGGCCTGGAATGCACTGCCTGGAAGGGAAGTACAGATGGGAGACCTCACTACTTGAAAAAAGTACATGGATGAGCACCTGAAATATCATAACATTTGAGACAATAGGCCTACTACTCAAAAGTGGGATTAGTGTCGTTTTAGCTAGTTTTGGCAGTACAGACTCGATGGAGACTGAAGAGCCTCTTTATGGTATAATTCTATAGTTTTAAGTGCTGAATCATCAAGCTGAGAGGTGGAGTTCAGGCCTTCAGCAGATGAGTCTCCTGACAGAGAGGATCTGTAGTGGACAGCACAAGGAATAGGTGGAGGTCACACGTGTCTCCCATGTGCCCCATTCTAAGTATCAGTTTGGAGGCACGCAACCTCCCCTTGCACACTGAGCATCCAGCCTGCTCCCTGGCCAGCTCCCCTACTTCTTTCTACTCTGCAGGTATCACAAACTTTCATATTGTTTCACGTCCTTCCGAATGCCACTTTGCAGTGACTGCACCACACCATTTCCCCAGCAAGGCACAGCAGGCCATTGACTCTTCTTCAGCATTGGAGTCAGTTTAACTTGTGGATCCCATAGTTGCTCCGCTGTGCTGCAGTTGTAAATGATGGTTCAGCCAGCAGTGGATAATTCATCTTTGGCTGCTGCCAGGAGTTCTCAACATCATAGGTGCCAGTCTACAACCAATTCAATTCTCACTGTATGATGTGACGAAAGCACTGAAGGCGCTGGGGACTCCACGAGCTATTGGCCTTGACAAAATTCTCACAATGATACTGAAGAATTCCACTCCAAATATTGCTGTATTCCGGTACAGTTACAACACTGACATTTATTTACCTGACGGTATGGAAACGTATGTCCTGTATAGAAAAGGGAGGACAAACCTAATTCAGCCAATTACTGAGTCTACTCTCTATCATGAGTAAAGTGATGGAACGTAGCAAAAGTTTTTTCAAGCAGCATTTGCTCACTGGTGCTTTGTTTAGATTCTGTCAAGATCACTCAGCTCCTGGCCTTAATACAGCCTTGATGCAAACATGGACAAAACAGGAGAGGTGAACTCCAGAGGTGAGCTGGAGTCAATGGGAGTCAGGGAAATGTTCTCCACTGGTTGGAGTTATACTTGGCATTTGGGAAAATGTTGTGTGTGTTGAAGGTCACTCGTACACTTCAGCTATGTCTGAAGGAGTTCCTCAGGGGAGTGTCCTAGGCCCAACCATCTTCAGCTGCTTCATTAATGACCTTCCCTCCATCATAAGGTCAGAAGTGGGGATGTTCGCCGATGAATGTACAATGTTCAGCACCATCACGACTCTTCAGACACTGTAGCAGTCTATATCCAAATGCAGCAAGAGCTGGGTGATATCCAGACTTGGGCTGACAAGTTATACTCATGCCATACAAATGCCAGGCAATGACCACCTCCAACAAGAGAGAATCTAACAATTGCCGCTTGACATTCAGTGGCATTCTCATAGTTGAGTTCCTCACTGTCAATATCCTAGGAGTTGCCATTGACCAGAAACTGAATGGGACAAGTTTTATAAGTACTATGGCTACAAAAGCAGATGAGACAGCTTGGCAGTGAGTAACTCACCTCCTAACTCCCCAGAACTTATCCACCATCTACAAGGCAGAAGTCAGGAGTGTGAAGGAATACTCCCCACTTGCCTGGATGGGTGCAGCTCCAACAACACTCAAGAAGCCTGACACCATCCAGGACAAAGCAGCCGCTCGATTGGCACTACATCTACAGCATCCACTCCCTCCACCACTGACACTCATTAGCAGCGGTATATACCATCTAAAAGATGTACTGCAGCAATTCACCAAGGATCATCAGTGAGCACCTTCTAAACTCTCAACCACTTCCATCCAGAAGAACAAGGACAGCAGATACATGGGAACACCATGACTTGCAAGCTCCCCGCCCCAAGTCACTCACCATGACTCGGAAGTATATCACCGTTCGTTCAGTGTTGCTGGGTCAAAATCCTGCAACTGTCACTTTGACAGCAATTGTGGGGATATCTGCAACAAATAGACTGCAATGGTTCAAGAAATCAGCTCACCACCACCTTGTCAAGGGGCAATTAGGGCTGGGCCAGCATTTACTGCCCCATCCCAAGTGCCCTGAATGAATGTTTAAAAATCTATCCAGGAGAAGTTTATAAAATCATGAGGGATATAGATAGGGTTAATAGTAGGTGTCATTCTGGGAGATTTCAAGGCTAGAGGACACATTTTTTTAGGTGACAGGAGAGTGATTTAAAAAAAGACATGAGGGGCGAATTTTTTTATACAAATGATGATTCGCATGAGGAATGAACTTCCTGAGGAAGTGATGGATACAATGTTTAAAAGACATTTTGATAAGTGCATGAATAGGAAACATTTGGAGGGATATGGGCCAGGAGCAGGCAGGTGGGACTAGTTCAGTTTGGGATTATATTCGGCATGGACTGGTTAGTCCAAGGGGTCTGTTTCTGTGCTGTATAACCCTATGACACTTCAGTCGTGCAGAAGCACCTTTTGCTGCTAATGCTGTGCAACACAAGGGTAGCCTACAGAGAGACATAAACAATGGAACGACTACTTGTTCTTTACACTGAAACATGACTCTCAAAGAGCAGAGAGTTGCGGTCACAGTTTCCAAGTGATCAACTCAGCTGCAGCAGCAATTGAACTTTCAAAACATCCAGTCCCACTGCCAGACTGATGCTATTGGATTAGAGGGAGAGTCTGTCTGTCTGTCCAGCTGCCTTTTAAACATGGTGCCTGGGAACCAACCCTATGAGACAGCGGAAGGGCCATCAATCTCTTGCCCTCCCCCATCCACCCACCTACCTCTGGACAGTCTTTGACTGCATGTAACCAACTGTCCCACCTCCGAGTGGAAGTCCAGGCACTATCTGCCCTGCTGCTGGCACATTTGACATACCAATAAGAATCCGTTTGTATAAGTTTATTCCAGTGCTCACGTTAAGCTGTAATTACTGGGTTTATCCGTTGCCGCTCTTTAAAACAGGAGTGTAACACTTGCAACTCTTCTGCAAGCATCTGAATGAAGTGAATCTTGATCATCTGAATGCAATAGTATTATATTCTATTTTAGAGAAGGTAGCCTAATTTGTCTGGCTAATATGTGACCCCTGTTCAGCAGTGCCCTCTGGAGGGGCCAAGTAAGCTTTTCAATGTTTAGATAGGTTCTCATCAACCTGTTCAGAGATGTTATTACAAGTTCCAGTGCAGGTGGGACTTGAACCCAGGACTCCTGGTTCAGAGGTAGGGATATTAATGCTGCACCACAAGTATCCCCCTACATTGGTAGGACTAGGGTTATTTTTGTCTTCATTTGTATCCTGAATAGGACAGAGTGGGAAACCTGACTTCATTTTCAAACTTTGTTGATGCAATTGAAAATACTGTCTGAAGGCAACTCTACCTCACTGAGCCATCTGGCATTTCAGAACTTGAATATTGCTGTAAAAAGGCACATTTTATCGAAGATAACACAGTGTGGAGTTGAAGGAGCACAACGGGCCAGGCAGCATCAGAGGACCCGAAACATCAACATTCCTGCTCCTCTGATGCTGCCTGGCCTGCTGTGCTCCTCCAGCTGCACACTGTGTTATCTCCAACTCCAGCATCAGTAGTTCTTACTATCTCTGACATTTTATCTCAGCCTTTTTGTTGCCAGGTTTTATTAATTAAATTAAATATGCCCAGCTGTTAACTGTCAATCAGCATCAATGGGTGCATCTCCCCATGGCAACAGTTTGGACAATCACAGTCCACTTTGCCAACCAACCAGCACTCTCCTCCCATGCAATACAAATGTTGGTTTTCCCTTTGAGTTTGTAGTTTTGTGAAATGTCCCGCTGAGTGCAAGATGAAAGGTTTCAACAAGGTGAGTCTATTTTGTTTATACTGCTGTTGCACCAAGTGATTCAAGGAAAGCAACCCCACTATTGACTCATCTTTTACTAAACCTCAGAGGGAACTGTTTATCCAAGACAGTGAAGCACATTGGGAATGGTCACCGGCCAAAGATGTGAACTTAGCAACATGCACTCATTTTAACAGGAAATGCCATCCTGTCAGTACAGATACATGTTGCTTGAATTGTACATTTGCTTACCATCTAGCACCAGTCAGTGAAACAGTCTGCAGTCTGTCTTCCCTTCACTTAATTTTGTACACAAACCACAAATTTATCAATGACAGCACATCTTGTTGAGAAGTTTCGGTTTTTGCCTGTTAGCTGTGTACCTTCTCTGACAGGTTACTAAGACTTGACTCATATGAGTTAGCCCCGTCTGTGCTCTCCATTCAGACTGCAGTTGCATGCTGCTTGAACTTTACCTTCATGTGGTCTGTTAAAGATACTCGTTATTGGTCATCTTGTTTACTTTGACTGGCTTGGATTGATTATTCCAAATGATTGAACCGATCAATGTGCCAGTTCCCTGCTTTGTGCAGTTAACAGTAGTTTACACAGCCCTAATATCTGACATCTTCAACTGCATTATGATTCACTTCAGCATGTATAACTAGGTTAAAGTAAATATGCAGTTTCATGTGATACATGGATTGAGAACACACACTCAACATTTTTTAAAATTTATTGATCAGGAATGTAATTAGCTACATCAGGCAACATTTATGCTGCTGTGCCACTGGTAGCGAGTTTGAATGGGGAGAGTAATCTATACCACCTTTACATGTGAATTTGCTGGCCTTTATTGATTTATGGCACTTGCTAATATAGGTGGGGCTTTCTTTCCCGCTCTAGCTCCAGCAATAGATCCATCGAGGGTGCAACATGTCCTTCCACCCTGTGCATACTCACCGACTTACATTGTGAAGGATTTTCCCATCGCTCGCTATCAAGGACTGCAGTTTGTAAGTAATTCTTGTCCATTTTCTGTTTTGCTGAACTGGCTCAAGTGAACTTTAACCCAGTCCTTTACTAATCTGAATTTAAAAAGTCTTCTTGAACATGTTTCATTGTTTCAAGTCTAATCCTTTTATCAAGTTTTAGAGGAACATAGATAGATTCATCACTTATTTTCCACGTATAATATTTTTCATGCACGCATCTATTGACAATCGTGGAAGATGTATATCGGTTAGACTGATTGATTGTCTTGTTTTGGGCAGCTTGATGGCACATCGGTTGGAACTGCTGCCACACAGTGCCAGGGACCCAGGTTCGATTCCAACCTTGGGTGGCTGTGTGTGTGGAGTTTGCATGTTCCTCCGTTACTGCGTGGGTTTTCACCAGGCGTTCCAATTTCCTCCCACAGTCCAAAGGTCTGCAGGTTAGGTGGATTAACCATGGTAAATGCAGAGCCATGGGATAGGGTAGTGGACTCGGTCTGGGTGGGATGCTGTCCAGAGGGTCAGCACAGATTCGTTGGGCTAAGTGGCTTCTTACTGCACTGTGGGATTCTATGACTTCAGGTACATTGTTTTCAGGTACATGGATAAGAAAGGTTTTGAGGGACATGGGACTTGTGCAGTTGAGGAAACCTGGGCAGGATGGACAAGTTGAGCCGAAGGGCCTGTTTCCATGCTGTATGACTCGATGATTTATTTCCAACTTCAATTAATTCTTCTTTTGCTGATGAATGAAGCCACTATTTTGAGACAGCAATGAATAGCAGCACGATGGATCTATCTGCCTGTTTTTGGTGGTGTTACAGAAAGAGTTGGAAAGGGTTATTAGCCCAGGAGGACTGTTTTTCCATACAGATCGCCTCATAGAACCTTAAAGATCCAACTGAGATCATAAAATGGTTACAGCACAGACAAAGTCCACACTGGTTCTTTGTGAAAATGATTCAACTAAACCCATTCCCTGCCGTTTCCCATTACCCTGTACGTTACTTTAAATCCTCCTGTATTTTTATAAAAGTTACAATTGAATTTTCCTCCTCCACATCCTCAGGCGTACATTCCAAATCCTGAGCACACTCTACATTAAAAAAAATTCTAATGTCATGTTTGGTTCTTTTGCCAGTCACCTCATAACAATATAGAATCATAAATTCCCTACAGTGCAGAAAGAGGCCATTCGGCCCATCAAGTCACCACCAACCCTCCAAAGAGCATCCTATCCAGATCCACCTTATCCCTGTAACCTCACATAGCATTTTTGCTATGGCTAAGCCACCTGGCCTGCATATCCCTGGACAGTACAGACCAATTAGCATGGCCAAACCACCTAACCTACATATAATTGGACTGTGGGAGGAAACCGGTGGTTCACTGCAAAACAAACAGTTTAGAACATAGAACAGTACAGCACAGTGCAGTCTCTTTGGCCCACGATGTTGTGTCGACCTATTATCCTACTCTAAGATCAAACTACCCTGCGTACCCTACATTTTACTATCATTCATGTGCCTAGCCAAGAGTCACTTAAATGTCCCTAATGTATCTGACTCCACTACCATTCCACGCACCCGCCACACTCTGTATAAAGAACCTACCTCTGACATCTCCCCTATACTTTCCTCCAATCATCTTGAATTATGCCCCCTCATAATAGTCATTTCCGCCTTGGGAAAAAGTCTCTGGCTATCCACTCTATCTATGCCTCTCATCATCTTATACACCTCTATCAAGTCACCTCTCATCCTTCTTTGCTCCAATGAGAAAAGCCCTAGCTTTCTCAACCTTTCCTCATAAGACCTGCCCTCTAATCCAGGCAGCATTCTGGTAAATCTCTGAACCCTCTCGAAAGCTTCCACATCCTTCTTATAATGAGATGACCAGAACTGAACACAATATTCCAAGTTGGTCTAACCAGGGTTTTATAGAGCTGCAGCATAACCTCACAGCTCTTAAACTCAATTCCCCTGCCAATGAAAGCCAACACACCACACGCCTTCTTAACAACTCTATCAACTTGGATCGCAACTTTGAGGCATCTATGGACATGGGCCCCAAGATCCCTCCATACTACCAAGAATCTGCCCTTAACCCTGTTTTCTGCATTCAAATTCGACCTTCCAAAATGAATCACTTCACACTTTTCCGGGTTGAATTCCATCTGCAACTTCTTGCCCAGCTCTGCATCCTGTCAATGTCCCATTGCGACCTACAACAGCTCTCCACACTATCCACAACTCCTCCAACCTTCGTGTCATCGACAAACTTATTAACCCACCCTTCCACTTTTTCGTCCAAGTCATTTATAAAGATCACAAGGGGCAGAGGTCCCAGAACAAATCCCTGCAGAACACCCCTGGTCACTGAACTCCAGGCTGAATACTTTCCATCTACTGACCACCCTCTGACTCGTATTGGACAGCCAGTTTTGTATCCAGACAGCCAAATTTCCCTGAATCCCATGCCTTCTTACTTCCTGAATAAGCCTACCACGGGGAACCTTATTAAATGCCTTGCTAAAGTCCATATACACCACATCCACTGCTCTACCTTCATCAATATGTTTTGTCACATCCTCAAAGAATTCAATAAGGCTTGTGAGGCATGACTGCCCCTCAAAAAGCCATGCTGACTATTTCTAATCAAACTGTGCTTTTCTAAATAATCATAAATACTATCTCTCAGAATCCTCTCCAATAATTTGCTCACCGCAGTAGTAAGACTGACTGATCTGTAATTCTCAGGATTATGCCTATTCCCTTTCTTGAACAACGGAATAACATTTGCCAACCTCCAATCATCTGGTACTACTCCAGTGGACAGTGAGGACGCAAAGATCGTCACCAAAGGCGCAGCAATCTCTTCCCTCGCTTCCTGTAGTTGCTCTTTGAGAAATCTAAACTGACTAAACATTCTTCCCCAGTGCATCTGCCCATTCCACCAGCCAGTGTCCTCTTGAAGTTTAGCGCTAACCTCCTTGTAGTTTATACACATTCCCAAGATCTGTGTCACTGGAGCAGGAAGAAAGGGCTTCCATTTGATGGAGGTGATATTAGTCTTTTGGGAATGTGGAAGGGTAAAATTGAGCTTGTATTACCTTGCAATCAATATTATTTTCATTTTGAAGAGTAAAATATTTCCAGTTTGTCCATGGTGTAATGCCTCCAAAGACAAATTTCACTCCCAAAGTCTGATTAATGGCATTTCCAACTAAGCACAAAACCTCAAACCTATATTCAAGTATCAGTATTGGCCATTGCTATTGAAAATTTAATCCCATTGTGACTCCATTCTGAGGCTTGAAAATTGTCATGACCCCTTAGAACTGAGAGAATGGAAGTGGGGGTGGAAAGGTGAAAATAGTTAGGATGGAAATGGCATTCTGTTACAGGGTAAACATAGCTATTACAACATAGTCAGATCTCCATTGCTGATGCAGAGTTTGTAACCCCAAACTATCAACATGAGCTGGTTTGGAGTCCAGACACCCACTCCACCACCCCCCCAGCCCCCGCTTTGGTAAACCCTAATCAAGGCTATGAGTTGATAACCTAACTATTCACATTTATTTTCTTCGCCCCTATATCCATCCAAAAAGTAGTGTAGCTGGGCTGATGCTTTCCAATGTTTGCTTCAGAGATTTGAAATCTCTATTTATAAGCACAAAGACTTATAAAATGAACCTTCAATGTAGATTTTATTCTGGACTTTCATCAATTTAGATTGAAATTGAGATTGTCGGGCCTAACATTCAGTTTCTATAATAGAGAAAGTAAGAAACTCCAGAAGTGGACTATACTGGGGGCTAGAATTTGTCACTGAAGCCTTGCTTATTACATTCATATAATCTAAATTCTAATTGCAAGTATCAATTATATAACTGAAAAAAAACCTTCACTTCTCAAAAGAACACTTCCACAGTCTTCAAAAAGGTATTGTTGACACTTTCTGTGAACTTTTGTCTTTGGGCTACAGATAATTGATTGGAGAAGATCTGACTTTAAGCGAGTAATTGTGGCCAGTTTTTCTCTGGGGTGATTTTGGAGTATTGTGATCGTTAGTGTGATGAATTTTTCTGAAGGGTGTAACAGCTCTGTGTTACAGTTTCATACTTCAGACACCGCCCTTTTGTGAGCTCTAGTGTGTGTACTCTTTTTTTTAAAATAGAGTAACATCCTCGCCATATTAGGGAATCTTATGCAGAAGTAAATGCAGTGTCTCCAAACCAATAACCACTGGACCCAGGTCATACTGGATTTTGGATCTGACAGTTGAGCTACATGTAGTTGGGGTCAAGGGTCAGTTGTAGTGCGGGACAGATCTGTGTACAAAGTGTGAAAGTGGCCTGAATTATCCAGGTAAGTTTATTTTGAGTTTTGCTCCTTTGGAATTGATGCATTGAATATTACAGAAGTATCAGACTACTCCAGAGTTTGGATAGCTAGATTTGAGATGCTTAACTGCATTGGGGAACTGGAGTAGAGTTTCTGCTTTGGGCTTTGTGACTTCTGGCATTTAGGCTGTGGACAATAAAATCTGCAGCCAAAGCCTTATTAAATATGGACCTAAATGAAGGACCCTCGCATCCATTGTGAAATTCATTCATCTCATTGTTTAAAGATGAATTGAAGTCTTCAAACAATGGAGTTTACAGACTACTTGTCTCCCCCATGTTTCATCAGAATATAAGAAACGTCAAAACTCCATGGGCGATAGACACGTATGAAATGATTCCCATCAACAGTTTCATTCTACAGTGTTGTGATGGCTCTGCGTCCAAACACAGAGACCTTGGATGTCTCAAATTCTCAAGGTGTAAAAAGCCACCACACAGGATGTTTATCAACCTACTTTGGACTTGTAACTGCCCATGTTTGTTGGCTGCAATTAAAAAAACAGAGTGCGTGTTGCCCAAGTTTCAGTGGAAAATGAGACTCTCACTAGGAAGGATGTTGCGAAACTTGAAAGGGTTCAGAAAAGATTTACAAGGATGTTGCCAGGATGGG